AAAGTTATCTCCCTAAAAAACCAAAAACCAGACAGTGAGACATATGGAGCTAAATTAATTTAAAATCCAAGGGAAACATCTGATTTTCCTCCCATGTTTTAGTTGTTTTAATTTAACTTTTGTTACTCTTGTAGATTGCACAACTAAGTAGATGAAGGTGACAGGAAAGAAACAGTAAGGATGCCCTGAAGCTGCAGCCTTAGGGATAAGGTCCTTTCTTTCCCAGTATGAGAGCAAAATTGCGACCCTTCATACCTCTATTCTAAGTATAGGCAATATGGCTTTGAAGGCAAAGCTCCTTTATATTTCAGCTGGTATGTATTTTCTTGACTCAGCTGAGGGGCACAAAGATATCAAAAATATTTTGCACCAGCAGAGAAACTGCATCTAGGAAACTTTGACATCCACTTGGGGCTTTATTTTGATCTGCGTCTTTGGAGAGTATATCTGTAACTGTCTTCTTCATGATAAAGCTACCTCTGTGTTTATACTTGAAGTTGTGTCTTGGGGGCTAAGTCTGCAGTATTAATCAATGTTTGCATAGTCAAAGTTTTAGAGTACATTAGGTGGTGTTATTGTTAGTTACATTATTATTAACACAAGGATAATGACACAGTTTTCCAGTTTCCCTGGCATATTAACCTTCATGGGAAAAGTATTTCCAGAGAAAAACCTTGTGTGTGTCACATTTTAGCGGTTTATGGTCATTTCAGTAGTTTTGTCTGTGAGAAACAGTTGTTCAATGAGCATGATAGAGATCCTGAGAGACGTGTGTAAGAGATATTCCAGGATTCAGTGGAGAGGCACACACTCTGTGGGGTCCTACCAATCCCCAATTAATTCGGGGGATTAAGATAAGAAGTGTTATTGAATTCTATAATTTGGGGGATTAGGATAGGAAGTGTTACTGAATTCTATCATTATGGGTTGAAGCAACCCTCTCTCCAGACTTGGAGATGAGAGACTGACCTGGCACCACAGTCACTGTGGCTGGTGTAGGGGAGGATTGCCCTATGGGGTGAATCCTCATGATGCCTCGTGAACTGTGGTTATATTAATTGCCCTTGAGATAGCCTCAAGTGTAATTTCTTTGTGTGGGCTTCTTTGAACAAGACTGCGAGACACGGAGATCACTGGCATCCATCCTGGCCAGAAGGTCATTGGCAGCTGCTATGCACAAGGCAGGCTGCTGCTTCCTAACCGGAATGGGAACAGGGAAGTTCAAAGACTGAGAAGTAGTAAAGGTCAGCATCTCTTTCGTATTTCATATCAGATTGGCTGCCCAGTCATTTTCATCTGGGCTGTTTGACAACTGGAGAGAGATTGGAGTTGACACAAGTCCTTGACTGTATCATTTTTTATTCAACTGAATCTTCAGAAGGCATATTTTTCTTTTTAAATTTTGGCCTTTGTTGTAGGGCATGAATCATATCTCTGGTTTTTAATCTTTTTCAAAAATTTATTTAAAAGCAGGTTGGGAAAGGAGTTCAGTTGAAAAAAAAAGTGGTATCAAACAATAATTAGAGACTGAATGTGAGACCAGCAGAGGTAATAAATCCAGGGCCATGTCTGGATCTACTGTAGACAAGCTGAGCATGCAATGTGGCATGTACTCTCAGAGCCTGTGTTACTGCATGGGTTGAAAACAACACTGTTGTAAGAACTTTGCATGAGGGCTCGCTCAGCTGGCCGCCTCAGTCCATGGCTCCACTGAGGTATATAGGCATATTCATCAATGTCTCCTTCAAAGTGGATTGGATTATTCAAATGCTAGATGTTAAACAAGGGAAAGCCATGTGCCTCAGACTAACTCATTGAAAAAAAAGTTGCAGAGGACAAAATTGTAGAAAGCTTGAAATAATATTTGACACACAAACTGGAAATACAGATGCTGAAAAAAAGGACCAGCTGCTGCTCAAATCCTTTTTTAAGATCTTAATGTCAAATAAATTATAAAATCCAGGGCTGACCCTATTGGAAAAGTGGTGTGGAAAAGTAAAGGAGCGAAGGAGTTTCTAAGACCCACTCAGAAACCAACCAGGAGATGCAGCTTTTTCACTCCCTGAGCACTGACCACAGGTACATCTTCCAGTGGTCTCCCAGCCCAAGCCTCAGGCCAGAGGTCCAATCGCTCATGCATCTCCCCCCCCCCCCCCCAGTGCCCTTACACAGAGCAGCCCCTGCAGTTGCTGTCCCGAACCCAAGCTGGCATGGGAAGATAGAGCTGCTGAGACACTATCTGGGGAGACACCTGTCAATGCTTCAGCAAGGTGGATGGAAATGGAGAGTCCCACCAGATCCATACTGATCAATTTAGCATTAATACTCAGAGGATAATATAGATTGCTGAAGATTTTTTAATAAGTTAGACCACCATCAAAGAAGTAATGTAGCTAGTCGGCAAAATAACTTGATTTAATTGCCAGGCTAGTAAGAAAACATCTACCTGTGTTCCTACATCTGAGAACTTAACATTTTCAAAACCTATTTTCTAGCTAGTATACACTGAGCTCCTTGCAAGCAAACCCTCTCTCAGATCTTCTTTTGTGTCTGCTGTAGCAGGCTTTAAAAAATAAACTAAGTGCCTTATAATCAGTACCAACATTCCTAGCCATTTCAAATTATTGTTCTTTCAAAATTACATTGTTTGGAAATGTCATCTCTAATTAAAATGTACTAATAACTTGAAATTGATTCATTTTCTGACTGTCCCTACTCTATTAATATTAATAAAAAGAAAAACATATTCTCTCTTTCTCTGTATTCTTCGATTCCTTCATGTTACTGGAAATTAATACTGGAAAATATTGTCTCAGGTGGCTATATTATGTAAGAAAATCCCTGAAATAACTATGCTAACATGCCATGTTGATAAGCATACAATAAGCACCAGCAGAAATACCTTTGAATTAATGTATTAATTTATTAATACCTTGATATGTAATTAATTTCCTTTTGCATTTATTTTCCTTAGGGTTTACTGAAGATGTTCAGTTAGCTGGTGTTTCCGTTAGTAATCTATAACTGGTGAATCAGACTATAAATTCAGCTATTTCAGCTACATTGTTTTAGTACTGCAATAGTCATCATAACATCATATTTGTTTAAGTGCTGTGATTTTCTTCACCTGAGGTGATGATCTAGCACTGGAAGACTGTGTTTCATAGTATGACGACAATTAATCCCCAGCTTCAGAGCACAAGTTAAAGAGATGCTGAGCAAGCCGGAAAAATACTGTGTCTGACTGAATAGCTGACATAAAGGGAGCTGGAGAGCTTGGAGAATAAGTGGTTAAACAGAAGGTTAATGAGCAAGGTGTGTGTAGTCTATTAAAAGAAAAATAATCTACATAAGACACCTGTGAGATTGTATGAAGAAACATCTGCAAATTATGTGATGTCCAGATACAGTCTTTTATGAAAGTAAATATAAATAAATGTAAGTATGTATGTACTTATGTATACAGGTATATACATGTATATGTGTAAAATATATGCATATAAATATATGTGTACCTATGTAAAATGAACACACAGAGATGTAGACACATATACACATATATACATGCACAGAAGGAAATGGTAGGTATGCTGAACAGGGCATTGCTTAAAACTAGAAGTCAAATGTGTTCTTGTCCTGCTAATTAGGCAACTACCCAGCAGTTAAAACAGTGCAGGACTGATAGACTCCTCTCTCAAATGCTGAGCTTTAGGATAATGCAGGCTATAGCATGTGGGGAATCAGTCACTTACATGAAGTGTTCCTACAGCGTGGGTTTGGGCTGCCAGGCAGATGGACCCTGCTGCGTGCAGCCTGGTCTCAGGCAGGGTGTTATGCTCACTACTCTGCTTCTGCCCTAGTAGTAATTTGGCTGGCTGAAAGAGCCGGGATCCTGGTAGGAGCTTAGAAATGGACTCCTGAGCAGTCACGTGGGGATGTACCCTGTCATGCCAAAAGAAGGCTGGGACAGCCTAGGACCCAGGCACCCATCAATCTCCAGCAAGCAGACAGTGACCAAGGGACCAAATGGGCTGTGAACAGTGTGAGGTAGATAGTGGAAAAAACATCCAACAGACCGTAATTGTTATGAAAATGATTAATGATTTATGAAACCTGTAGGTATTTCTTCCTAGTTATCTTTTTTCTTCTACTATGTTCCTTAAACACATATGTGAATCATGATTTACTTGGAGTATAAATGTCGGGCTCCAGCAGATATGAAGCTCTTCTGTTTTCTGGTCCTCTCATTACACACATCAGGTTCAAATAAGTTTGATTCTATAATTTTCTTGGATTCTAGAGCACAATTTTCTGAAAATCTGAAATCATGAAAGACAAAATTGCAAATCAAATAATATCTTCTACATATCTAGTCTAGCAAGTAATATGTGTTTTTTTTTTCTTCAAGAAAGTCATTTAGCAGCTCTAGCTACTCAGCCTGGGTGCATTTAGGTATGGACAACTCTTAATTGCCATCTACACTACTGAACAGTAATTAAAATGGGCAACATACTCTTAGTAGCTTGAGAAAATGTAAGATTTGGCTTGCAGGAGGCCAGCATACTTACAGCTCAAAATGAAACGTGTGGCCAAACCTCCATCCAGTTTCCTTCAACAATGTTCTGTGAAGGGGTGTTAACTGCTGTAGCTTTTGAAAGGAAGCCTATGATTGCACTTCCTACCTTAATGCTATTTGGACATATACATATTAATGTCAGACAGCACCAGGCTTTGTTGGGTCAATTACAAATTGAATGAACTCCGAATCAATACAGATGAAACTGAATGGACCCATGACAGGTGGCTCTGGTTTCAAAGGAGAAATGTATTAAAAACATTGAAATTTAAAACACCAGAAAAAAAAAATTCACAGTCTTGAATAAAGAAGGATTTTCTCTGGGTTTTTTATCTAAATGGAAGGGACGAGCAATAATACAATGCCCGAGTGCTGAGGTCAATAAATTGTTTATTTTTCTTTCTTTTTTTTCTTTTTTTTTTAGGTATAAAGCTATAGTAAGGCCAATGGAGATCCAAGCATCCCATGCACTGATGAAGATTTGTGTGAGAGCTGCTGTAATCTGGATTGTATCTATGTTGCTTGCCATCCCTGAAGCAGTGTTTTCAGATCTGCACCCTTTCCATGACAAAGGGACTAATAAAACCTTCATCAGCTGTGCTCCTTACCCGCATTCAGATGGGCTGCATCCTAAAATTCACTCAATGGCATCATTTTTCATCTTTTATATCATTCCCCTATCTGTCATTTCAGTGTATTATTATTTCATTGCTAAGAATTTGATCCGGAGCGCTTACAACATCCCTGTGGAAGGAAACGTGCATGTGAGGAAACAGGTAGAGACTTGACTTTCTTCAAAAATCCACATTCCCTGTGAATCTGGGAGGAAAGAGGGAATACAGAGAAATTTATACAGGGACAGACTGCATCTGTTGTGCTAATTTGAATAGATTAGATGGGCTAAAAGCATTAAAATGGTTGAAACAAGCCATGGCATAGTCTAACCAGTTAAAGCATTTTCTCCTGTTTCTAAGTTCAGAGACTTTGGCAGGGTGGTTACCATGGCAAACACAGCAGGAGACCCATGCCAAAGCCTGGAAAGGTATTGACTTAGGCAGAGCTGGGGATGGTGTTTGGAGATTGAAGCTGAGGGGTGACACAGCAGAAAACCAAAACTTCTCGAAGTTGCTTTGTCAGAGAGAGGAGCTTGGTTAAAGCATTGCTCCATGAAGCAGTCCCTCTTCACACAGAGGGTAATATTGGCTCTGCGTTTTGTTTGTCAGAACTGAAGAGCAAATGGGAGATAGCAATGGGGGAACTGAGGTGGGGGAAGCCCCTTCTGCAAGGGCCCCCTGGGACCAGGATCACAGGTTGGTCAGGGAAGGACATGCACAGCTGCTCTGTGAGAGCAGCAATGCCTCTTGCGCTCGCCACAGCAGCAGCGCTGATCCACTGGTGCTGTGCCATCTTCAGAAATCAGTACAGGCTAGAGAGGGACCAAGGGAGTAGAGACCAGAGGAGGAGGGTGATGGGCACAGGGTCCCCAGGAAGGAGGACAGAGCAGGAGGTGCGGGGTCCTTACAGATGTGCTGAAGCTATGTGCCTTGTGGATGGTATGATCTTTGCAGTGTGAAGTCTCAAGAGAAAAGGAGAGTCCTGGCTTCCTCCCTTAAACTCTTTAGTCATTATAATTCTCCTTCTACAAATGTCTCTTTTCCTGTGGTCTCCAGAGGGGAGTGGTGTTGGACAGAATAACCTGTCCACCTGTTATTTGCCCTCTAATAGGAGGTCAGTATTTTTCTGGTCCAATAGCTGGTAGTCTCAGGTTTCACCTTAAAACAGTTTTTGATTTATATAGGCCATTTGCTCCAGAATAATACAGTCTTTTAGTCTTTCCTTTGTACTCGAAAGCAGAGTTACATCTATTACTGTCACTCATGAGTGGGGGTTTTCATAAAACTCCACAAACTGTCCCACTGCAGAGCTCACGGTTGGGGTGGCTCAGCTGGGACCTGTGTATTTCAAGTGAGTTTCATGCTCTGGTTGAAAAGGTGTGTCTGAAAATGTGCAAGCCCTGAACCAAGTGAGGGGATTTAGCCGGCATTTGACCAGCCTCACTCCAGCCTTTCAACTGGAGATGGTTTCCTCATGACTGCTCCTGTTGTAAACATCTGGAGAGAAAAAGTCATCTCCACGGGGAAATCCAAATCCTGCATGAGCAACAGAGTATTTCACGTCAGCGCTTATAGTTGAATGCATTTGAGCTTTAGGTTGTCCAAGTAAGAAAGCAACAGCAGGGTAATTTATTTCTAAACAACTAATGTACCTTGACATAGGATCATAGAACCATAGAATCATAGAATGGCCTGGGTTGAAAAGGACCTTAAAGATCATCTAGTTTCAACCCCCCT